GCAACAGAAACCAGCAATGAAATGACTAAAAAATTATTTTTTTTTATTTTTTATGCCAACCACAGAATCAAACGACGTATCAGCTTCAAATTGTTCTTACAAACCTACAATTTACTAATGGTAAAAAGACGGACAGATACAAGTCATGGTAATTACACACGTGGAGCCGCAATCTCAATTCCTGATCTCTTGTGACAAAAAAAAATGGTGCGGTAACAAACAGCTCGTGGCAATGTCACCATCTTGTTGTAGTTCGAACAGCCATATGGTGTAGGCGGAATTTACTTAAACTTAATTTCCTGAAATTTTGACACAGAGCACAACACAAATAATATATATCACTGCCTCCTACTACCTCAAGCAGTTGAACAGTGCTCGTCTTCCGGTGAAAACTCTAAACGAGTTCATTTGTTCCTGCACAATCTCCATCTATGCGTAGTCTGCTCCAGCCATTTTCGTCGATCTTATTTAATCCGGTTTTACGGAGAAACGAGTGATAAAAATTGCCAGAAATATCAGCGGAATGAACAGCAGATCCTGGATCAGTAGCTGCCAAAATTGTGACTTAAGTACTCAACCAAAATGTCTGTTTCGGTCACTCAATTTTAAATGACGACAAACACCCGTTTTATATCTCGTTTGCAAATCAGTGATTTCGTTCATCGTCAGCGCGTCATATGACGTCGAAAGTCAACTTGTACTGCTTGTGGTAGATGTTTCTTCCTGACTTTTTCTTCTCTTCTCCTTTTTCGTTCTCTTTTTTGCTTATGCTTTAGTTCAAGCATACACCTGGCTAGCTCCATCGCTAATACGATATCATCGTGTAGTAGTATCATCTGTCGAGTCACCATATCGACTGATATTCGGGTTTGATGATTTATAAGAAAGTTCTGATGCCCGGTCGGTTTGAAAGACTTTGTGACTCAAACTTGCGGGGTGTTATTGTCACAGAGTCGGCTAAATAATTTCATAAATCTCTGACTGCGAACCAGCTGCTTTTCCAGTCTGTTTTCGCGTTGTGGTAAAATTCATCAAACATCATCTTCATCTTAGTCCCTCTGTCTCTTTATCGACATCAATTGTTTTCATGCAGAAGTTGTGATAAAAATACTTCACGACGTATTCTTTGGAAATGCGTTAGCCACAGTCTTATTCTTCTAGACAAATCCGCCTTGACGACTTAAGACTAGACTTGAGTCTATCAGTCTTTCAGTTAAATTTACTTAAGTGAACCCCAAGACACGCGATTAGTTGCCTAAAACCTGGATGTAACAACGAAGAATATGAAACAACAAAACCAGCAGTAAAAGTAGATTAATTTTAAGCTGATCATAACTTGGCACAAAATGTCAGTTATTCTTTCTTGGGTTCTATCAGACAATGAACACCGAACGGGAAGACCGACCTTCGGTAACCCTCTCTGTGGCACCTAAAAGGAACGTCGGAAGGATGTTGTACCTGAACGTTTCGAAAGGTACTGTGTATAGCACTGGTAGAAAGGGTGAGTTTGGTTGGTTAGAGTAGAACTGTCGAAAGCCACTGCTGTCTTTATCAAACATCCGGTTCCGGTTAAGATGCACCTAAACTCGTCAATGCAACTGTCACAGAAGAGTTTCAAAAGCCACCGGCTGCGCTCCAGCCGATTTCTCCAGAGACTGCTAAAATAACCCGGAGTAACATAGAAGAGTGGTAAGATGCAAGATTTAGTTGAGTCTTTCAGCACTTCTGGGCCAACGCAACGGCCAAATGCTGAAACCGGTCATTAAACTTTGCCAACCAATGCATCATTTATTCTCAGCCAAGACCATCCACAATCGTCAGCGTACTTCATACGTGATGATGGCATCCTATTGGATACATCGCAAGGTGCATAAGATTAAGAATGCCGTTTATAGAGAGGACCCTTTTGCGGCTTTTCGAACCCGTGATTTAGTCCTACTCACCCAACAAAGTCGGATTTTTGAAAGATGCGTATTTTAATTTAATACGTTCCCGATTAATATGAATTTGTTAACATTTTAAACAAAATCCCTTAATGAAGGGCACGGTATTTAAACACTAAGCAAAATTTCTACATGAAGGACATGGTAACCAGTTATCATAGTATTAACACGATTTGTTCTTCAGCATAACTTTTAAACACCACACTGTCTCCTTGGTTCTAATTGCATAGCAGGGTCAGAAAAGTGCTTATTGATGCTGAAATAGATTTCACTCCGAAGAAATTTGTAATGAATTATTGTGATATGATGGCATATATTTCTTAGCGATATTTAAAATATTTTTAGAGCTTTTCGCCCGATTAAAAATAGCCGGTTCGATGCTTCATATTCCATAACTAACGTTGATACACCAACAGGCGCATAACTCTTGCGACAATTTCTGATTTTCGGAAGCTGTTTACGAAATTCAGCTGAAGCTGGTGCAAGTAGATGAAATCATAAGACTAAACATGCTTTTAATTAACAACAAACTATAAACGTAAAACAAAATTATTGAAAACAAGACAGTCAATATATCTCAGTAATAAAAACTTAGTACAAGTTTTTGCAACTTTGAATCCAGGCGGCAGCACTGACACTGTCATTTTCCACAACTAAGATATGAAATGAATTCATAAAATTTTCTGAGGTGGCTTTGAATCTGCGCTCTTCGTTCGACTATTAATCATCGCATAAAATAACAGCAAATGCTTGCCAGCAACAAAGAAATTTCATTTTCAAAGCATGTTCATTTTACCGGCTTGTAGAAAAGAATCAAATCACCGCCTTGTTTCCAAATGAAATGCTTTACGGTACGCAAATCCATGCTGGGATCAAGAAGCTAAACGTACTAAAAGTTAATATACCGTTCCAACTAAAAACAACACAATGACTATACTGCAAGCGAGTAAGGCTTTCAAGCATTCTCAGCATAAATGAAAATATTTAACGGCTATTTGTGATAGTTTTAATCAACAATTAACCGGTAATATTGATTGATAAACGGCAGTCTTCAGCAGGTCAAATAACTGCAGCTATTCGATGTGCTGATGACTGTCGCCGATTGGTCGATATTGTGCTATTTTAAACCACAGTCAGCAATAATCATAGGGAGATTAAATCTATAGTTACATTAATCAGGATTAGAATTTTCGGATATATTCTCAGTAATTTTAAAGTAACTGAAGGTTATTCAATACGAAAAAATCTTAACTTATAAGGAATATTTACTGTATCTGAAGGAAGCTAAAAGGCAGCAATTAAATCCAGAGGGAGCATTACAAAATTGCTTCTGAATTCAGCATTGTAATTATCAATAATTAAGTCTGAAACAATCAGAGATAAAACTATTTTTGGCTAAGAGTCTCTAGGAGCAAAATATAGCCCTCATTGAGAATTTAGAAGGCGACTTCCGCTGCGCGATATGGCTCATGGCTTACATATCCACTTCATAATCACACTTAAGCATGGTAGGAATTATGCAGACACGTTACTATATTGCGTAATGCTAAATATACAGTTTTTATCGAATTCTGAGCATCAACATGATTTCATTAGCAATACACTGAAATTATGAATATGACATTGAAAAGCACCTGGTCTTGACAGTAAAGTTGAATTTTCGCCTCAATATTTGGTGGCAGGACAGATGGAAGCTGAGGATTTGGAATAACGCCATTTCCTCCCTGCCCAGTGACTTCGTTGAGGTTAGCAAAAAGAATCTTTTCATAGACATGCTCCATAAGTTTTCGGACGAGTAACATGTCTGAAGCAGAAAGACGATCCCTAAAAACATACGCCAGCTGTTAATGAACGCAACGTACATGCATTTATGAATTCGATAAAAATACAGTACACGTCATGCTGTACAGAAATATATAGAGAATAAATTCATAGTACTTCTTATAAATTTTCAGATTGAGGTTCGGATGCGGGAGCAGCAGAAACTGTATTTTGTTGTACTTCGGCATCGCCTTGTTGACTACGATATCGACAACCCAATGCGGAACCGTGTCATTCAAGAAAGCGCTTTCGTTTTCGCCTGAGAGGTCGCGACAGGCGACGCGATACAGCGTGCGACCGTTCGATTCACTACAATAGAAGATCGCAAGTAAACTGCAATATAAATAGAAAATCTTCAAGAAAGAAATAGATGTACATAAATTTTATTTCAATGCCTACGGCTTGGAGCTTGTATGCTGAGGCATCGTCTAGGAAGCATATTTTTCCCGACAAATGTGACAGAATATTCTGTTCTAAGAGTCAATTCTGCAAAATTAGGTTAATGAGACAATGGCATTACGAAGATGGCATAGTATCTTATGTCATTAAAGTAAATATAATGGGAGCTGACAGTAACAATGTAAGCGATGGCATACAAAAAGGGCATGTGAACGATAAAAGTATAAGAAAACAGTCAAAAGAAGTCAAGAGCCGGTGTTTAGTTTAGCTCAGTTTAACAGAAAGGACAAAAAAATGAAAGAAAATTAGTTAAAAAAAACTTCTACAGGAACTGCCTACTAACCCAAGTTGCACTGAATGACTTTAGAAAATTAGGATAAACTTCAGGTTAATGCCTAACACTGATTATTACAATGGATAGCATCTCTCAGGTATTTAACTAGAACTGCAGCCCTAAGAAGGACTCGTATTAGACAGAAGGGCCATAGAAGTCGCCCATTCTCGCACGACTTCCAAAAAGTATCTATTGTTCTGTTCCTTGCTACAATTTCCCAGTTGAATGCATTCAAGCAACGTTTGGATGAATTCTTTGCCCAAAACAATTAGCGGTTAAGAGAATTAGCTAGCTGCAAGCTACGTTGGACGAAGAATATGATCCCTGCCGTTGTAATGGACAATCAGCTTGATCTGGTGGTGCTCTGAAGTAGAAAGACAGCTTTCGCCGTTCAGAACACGATCTCCCTTCTGCTTCCGCTCAGAGTCCCGATTTCTTCCTGCGACACCATGGACAATGCAGGCCAGAGACGAAACCATCCATGTTTCTGAATAGCGACCAAACAGTCTTCCATTATTCATGGGTATCATTCAAGCGATAGTCACAGTCCATCGGTGGCAAGTTTTGGCTACGTGCTCAGCCCATCCAATGATGTTTCCCCAGTTTATCAAGATGTCATATTTCACTTTGCTGTGCTGTTGAATTACAGCGCTGGTGATGCGTTAAAGTGCTTAGTTCCAAAGATAGTGGCTTCCATGGTTCTCTCTCCACTTTCGTAATCGATCTTGCTTCGCTGTCGTTCAGTACCGTCGGCTAGAGGAGAAAAAAGGCCAGTGTTGATTTGTTGATCTTTCAAAGGAGGCCGCTCTTGACAGAACTGTACAAACTACTTGCTTATCTTTGCGCACGAGATTTCAATTTTCTGATCATGTCAGATGTCGAATTACTGGTTCAAGCAGATGCATTTTTCCACTTCTTCTATGGACTCTTCATCTACTGTTACCTTTCATCCGTTGCTTAGGAGCAATGCCAGCTAAACCAAGCAATGTTACATTACATTGCGGTGGCAACAAGCACGTACGAGATCCATCTAAAGAAAAGACGCGGAGAGGGGCGAAATGAGGCGAAAGAACAGGGGGCCAAATTTATTACATAAAAGATGAAATCTAATCATTGCGAAATATTTTAGATAAATAAGAGAACGCTACTACTTTTATCGACTCAGAGTAAACTCGCTATTGAGTTAGGAAGGAGACGAAGCGTCAGAGGAAGTTGTGCGGCTTAAACTTATTATGTGCACTGGACGGCGAATACGCAAAAATTAGATTACCTTAAATGAAAGTAGGCTGCTTCAGAGACGGAACGTTCCGTGGTTTGGTTCGAAGAGAAAATTTTGAGTCAATAATGTAATGCCACTGCGCACAGTTCTTTTAATCGATACTGGCAAAGAGAACGATTGACAGGAACTCTGTGTCGGTCAGAAACCAAAGCAGTGGTTTCACCGGGCGCCGCTGAAAAGTTTTCAAACATCTTCGAAAATACTGTCCACACTAAGTGCAAATGAACACGTGATGATGCATTATGTCATTTAAATTCTAGGAGGATGATGTTTCGCTTAGCTATCGCTATCGTACATGATACACAAGCCGTTGTACAATATAAACTTCTATAAACCATTTTAAACTTTTCTTGCATTTCTCAGCCACTCACCAAAAAATCAGGGGTGTATGTCCGGGTACATCAAAGTATCCGTTTGCGTACTTTGAGTCGAACCCGCTACCTTCTTCTAGAATGTCAAAGAGATAAACCGTAAGAAAACAACAGAAACCTGAATACCTGGTTGTTTCTCCAACGCGTGCGCCCTGGGCCAGTGTTCCAATAACGCCTGCAGCATTAATTCGCCAAGATTTACTAGAAAAGTACTCGACGGTCAATTCTGCGCATTAGACATACTCCATACATTCATTCTGATACTTGCTATTTTTATTCTCAGTAAAGCATTTGAACGATTGTGGTACTAACTGATAAGAGGAATCGAATTGTGAGACAAAACCTTCTGCTTTGAGGAAGAACAAACATTCATTCCCCTGAATCATTATAAGAAGCCAATTCAAGCATATCTGTTGGCACTGAAAATTTCAAAGGACATATGCACCAGAAGTGCGACAAATTTTCTGATTTTCAGAAAGTTAAGGTGGTATATACGAGCTGCATAACTTGTAGGAGTCATTTTCTACTACAGTACTTGCATGAGGCAAATCTAGCAGAATTTTAAACTTGTGATAATGTTGCAATACTTTTAGGTCGGAAAGCATGGCGTTATAGAAATCCATATTGTTCGAGCGAATGCTGTCATGATTTATTTAGGCTAAATTATGCCCTAGGTCTTTAGAGACAACGAGAGAGCGTGATTTTGTTGCATACCCGGAGTACAAGCTTGTATAAGAGTCATTTCCCCTATAATATCAGCGTGAACCAATTAAACCTAAAGCATTATTTAAATCACAGTATGACTCAAATTTGCTTCAGCACGCGGAACCCGTATGAACTTTATATAGCACAAAAAATAACTTCACCGCTTTCCCGCCGCAGCTTAGAAACCAAAATATTGTCCAGTGTGTAGCTCGAAGATCATTCCATTCCTTAATGTAAAAACTGCAAACATACTTTGCAAACAAAGGAAAATTTGATTCGATTCAGAAATCGACTCGCCACTAGTATAGCACTGATAGCGAAAATGCCGTAATTAGAAGAAAAGCTCCATGTGAATATTCTGTAGAGGCTAGCTTCACTCGTAATTAAAGTTACTGAATTATTAGATTTCGGTTTTATTAGATAAGATTACGTGGAGGTTTTGTCGTGCACAGCAACAGCTATCGAATTTTAAAATCCTACGTTTCACGTCGCTGGCTGCATTTCCCAGTCCTGCATCTTTCGCCGACACCCATGCTGAGAAGCAGTCGCTTTCGTCCAAGGTGATCTGCAGCATCTAAAGAGCGTTAATAAAAACCAGATCAGCAATGCACTCAGTGCCAAAAACGAGAGAACATAAAGCAAATGACGTGAACAACATTTTATAGCTCTTACACCCGTTTTCAAATCCACCGTAAACCAGTTCGGCACGAACAGCATTTTGAATGACTCCTTCACCTTCTGCTCAAAATTTACCGCTCCATAATCCTCGACTTTCCTTGCCTAAACATGCAGCCGTTGCCAAAACATTCCTGATAAAATACGCCAGAATTCACACTCGCAGTACGTCCCACAAGCTGATGTTGTTTTCAGTGTCTTTGGCCAACACGTAACGTTTGTCATTTAAGACACTGATCTGGCGAATACTTGGAGCACCTAAAAGGAGTAGTAAAGTTTTAATGTCGTTCTGATACATTTATATCAATTCCAAAATTATTAAGCACATTTTATTAACGTCTACATCATCAAGCGACTCTTCAGATAAAGCAGAAAAATCTTCTGGCGACTTAGAACAAGAATTTCATTTCTCCTCTTAAAATGATATTGACGTTATTCACGACAACTACACTGCGGCACAAATTTGTTAGAGGACTATGCAAAACAATCCAAAACTCTAGGATAATGTGACAATCTTCCCAAAGAGATAACCCCGAGAGCCAAACCATTTATATAGTAGTTCAAGCCTAGTGCCTTGAAAGATTTCAAACTGATAGTAAACAAGTATGTTATTTTTAAAAGTACTAAGACCTTTAAAACACTTTTTAAAAATGAATTATCGCATTTTCTCATCGATAACGCACACCTTGTAATGTCTAATGCTCGTGAAATGTATATATAGCGTGTAATCTATTTCCTGTCAGAAGAAAAGGCAGTTTTCGGGCAAATGAATAATGGAATAATATGAGTGGCTCTGGCTCTGTCTAAAACAGACG